TAGTATATTAACGTCAAACAATGCTAAAGACTATTATATTACCGTCAAACAGGGTTAAAAACTATTATATTACCGTCAAACAACGTTAAGAAGCTAGTGTATTACAGTCAAACAACGTTAAAAAGCTAGTGTAGTACAGTCAAACAATGTTAAAACTAGTATATTAACGTAAAACAGCATTAAAGAGTATTATATTACCGTCAAACAGTGTTAAAAACTATTATATTACCTGTATTACAGTCAAACAACGTTAAAAAGCTAGTGTATAACAGTTAAACAATGTTAAAAACTAGTATATTACTGTCAAACAGCGTTAAAAACTAGTATATTAACGTCAAACAATGCTAAAGACTATTATATTACCGTCAAACAGTGTTAAAGAGTATTATCCTCTGCCCCCCAGGGGGGCCACACCCACCGTTTATGCAAAATTAAGTACCCTTGGCTTAAGGATACTCCAGACAAAATTTAGTCAAAATCTCCCTGGCCGTTCAGGACTAGTAGCGTTTTAAAGGAAAAGTTGACGGACGGACGACGGACGGAAAGGACGCTACGGTATGGCATACATATTAACGTCAAACAATGTTAAAGAGAATTATATTACCGTCAAACAACGTTAAAAAGCTAGTGTAGTACAGTCAAACAATGTTAAAACTAGTATATTAACGTAAAACAGCATTAAAGAGTATTATATTACCGTCAAACAGTGTTAAAAACTATTATATTACAGTCAAACAACGTTAAAAAGCTAGTGTATAACAGTTAAACAATGTTAAAAACTAGTATATTACTGTCAAACAGCGTTAAAAACTAGTATATTAACGTCAAACAATGCTAAAGACTATTATATTACCGTCAAACAGTGTTAAAGAGTATTATATTACCGTCAATCAACGTTAAAAAGCTAGTGTATTACAGTCAAACAATGTTAAAAACAAGTATATTAACATAAAACAATGTTAAAGAGTATTATATTACCGTTAAACAGCGTTAAAAAGCTAGTGTATTACAGTCAAACAATGCTAAAACTAGTATATTAACGTAAAACAACGTTAAAGAGTATTATATTACCGTCAAACAGTGTTAAAAACTATTATATTACCGTTAAACAACGTTAAAAAGCTAGTGTATTACTGTCGAACAATGTTAAAAACTAGTATATTATTGTCAAACAGTGTTAAAAACTATTATTTCACTGTCAAACAATGTTAAAAAACTATTCTATTACTGTCAAACAATGTTAAAGAGTATTAGATTACCGTCAAACAACGTTAAAAAGCTAGTGTATAACAGTTAAACAATGTTAAAAACTAGTATATTACTGTCAAACAGCGTTAAAAACTAGTATATTATTTTCAAACAGGGTTAAAAACTAGTATATTAACGTCAAACAATGTTAAAAACTAGTATATTAACGTCAAACAATGTTTAAAACTATTATATTACTGTCAAACAGTGCATAAAACTATTATATTACTGTCAAACAATGTTAAAAACTAGTATATTACCGTCAAACAGCGTTAAAACCTAGTATATTATTGTCAAACAGTGTTAAAAACTAGTATATTAACGTCAAACAATGTTAAAAACTAGTATATTAACGTCAAACAATGTTTAAAACTATTATATTACTGTCAAACAGTGCATAAAACTATTATATTACTGTCAAACAATGTTAAAAACTAGTATATTACCGTCAAACAGCGTATAAAACTATTATATTACTGTCAAACAATGTTAACAAGAGACCAAGAGAGCCTGTATCGCTCACTTGAATATGTTTAAAATAATTTGTATGAAGTTAAGATATAGCACTCCATGGTAGGTGCTGTAAGAACATATGAAATTTCAGAAAGATCCATCCAGTACTTGAGATATACCGAGAACAAACTTCAAACAGAGCCCCACCTCTATGCCCCTAGGTGGGTCATACCCACCAATTATACAAAATCGAGACCCCTTGGTCCAAGGATGCTCCAGACTAAATATGGATAAAATCCCTTAAACCCGATGGTCGAAGAAGGATTTTAAAGGTTTTACCTCTATTTCTCCTATTGGGCACGGCCCTTCTGCCCCTCCCTTCTGCCCCCTGGGAGACCACATCCACTGCTTATACAAAATTGAGTCCCCTTGGCCCAAGGATGCTCCAGACTAAATTATGATAAAATCACTTGATACCTATGGTAGAAGAAGGATTTTAAAGGTTTTACCTCTATTTCCCCTATAGGGTCCCGCCTCTCTGCCTCCAGGGGGGTTAGACAAACCGTTTATACAAAATGGGTTCCCCTTCACCCAATGATGCTTCATACCAAATTTGGACCAAATCCTTTCGTTCCTACAGAAGAAGCATTTTAAAGAATAATTTGCTATGTTTCCCCTATTGTGCCCCGCCCCTCAGGCCCCTAGGGCCCAGGCCCACGGTTTATACAAAATAGTTTCCCTTCACCAAAGGATGCTTCAGACCAAATATGGAACTAATACTTTCTTTCCTACAGAAGAAGAAGAATATCAAAGAATTTGCTATATTTCCCATATTGGGCCCCGCCCCTCAGCCCCCAGGGGGGCCAGACCCACCGTTTATACAAAATTGGTTTCCCTCCACCCAAGAATGCTTCAGATCAAATATTGACCAAATCCTTTCATTCCTACAGAATAAGAAGGATTTTAAAGAATTTGCTTCATTTCCCCTGTTGGGCCCTGACCCTCAGCTCCCAGGGGGGGCCAGACCCACCATTTATACAGAATTGAGTTCCCTTCCCCCAAGGATGCTTAAGACTAAATATGGAACATATTCTTTCATTCCTACAGAAGGGGAAGGATTTTTAAGAATTTACTATATTTCCCCTATAGGGCCCCGCCCCTCAGCCCCCATTGGGGCCAGACCCACCGTTAATACAAAATTGGTTCCCCTCCACCTAAGAATGCTTCAGACTAAATTAGGATAAAATCCCTTAATCCCTACATTCGAAGAAGGATTTTCATGGTTTTACCTATATTTCCCCTATTGGGCCCCACCCCTCTGCCCCCCAGGGGGGCCACACCCACCGTTTATGCAAAATTAAGTCCCCTTGGCTTAAGGATACTCCAGACAAAATTTAGTCAAAATCTACCTGGCCGTTCAGGACTAGTAGCGTTTTAAAGGAAAAGTTGACGGACGGACGACGGACGGAAAGGACGCTGCGGTATGGCATACGCTCACCATGGTCCTACAATGTTAACAATGTTAAAAAGCTAGTGTATTTCAGAAAACAATGTTTAAAACAGGTATATTACTGTCAAACAGCGTTATAAACTAGTATATTATTGTAAAACAGTGTTAAAAACAATTATGTTACTGTCAAACAATGTTAAAAAACTATTATATTACTGTCAAACAATGTTAAAAACTATTATATTACCGTCAAACAATGTTAAAAAGCTAGTGTATTACAGTCAAACAATGTTAAAAACAGGTATATTACCGTCAAACAGTGTTAAAAACTAGAATATTAACGTAAAACAATGTTAAAGAGTATTATATTACCGTCAAACAGTGTTAAAAACTATTATATTATTGTCAAACAACGTTAAAAAGCTAGTGTATTATTGTCAAACACCGTTAAAAACTAGTATATTATTGTCAAACAGTGTTAAAAACTATTATATTATTGTCAAACAACGTTAAAAAGCTAGTGTATTATTGTCAAACACCGTTAAAAACTAGTATATTATTGTCAAAAAGTGTTAAAATCTATTATATTATTGTGAAACAACGTTAAAAACTATTATATTACTGACAAACAATGTTAAAGACTATTATATTACCGTCAAACAATGTTAAAAAGTTAGTGTATTACAGGTAAACAATGTTAAAAACAGGTATATTACCGTCAAACAGTATTAAAACTAGTATATTATTGTCAAACAACGTTAAAAAACTATTATATTATTGTCAAAAAGTGTTAAAAACTATTATATTATTGTCAACCAACGTTAAAAAACTATTATATTATTGTCAAACAACGTTAAAAACTAGTATATTACTGTCAAACAATGTTAAAAACTAGTATATTATTGACAAACAACGTTAAAAACTAGTATATTATTGTCAAACAGTGTTAAAAACTATTATATTACTGTTAAACAATGTTAAAGAGTATTATATTACTGTCAAACAATGTTAAAGACTAGTATATTATTGAAAAACAATGTTAAAAACTATTAAATTATTGTCAAACAATGTTAAAAACTAGTATATTATTGTCAAAAAGTGTTAAAAACTATTATATTATTGTCAAACAACGTTAAAAAACTATTATATTATTGTCAAACAACGTCAAAATCTATTATATTATTGTCAAACAACGTTAAAAACTATTATATTACTGTCAAAAAGTGTTAAAAAACTGTTATATTACTGTCAAACAATGTTAAAGAGTATTATATTACCGTCAAACAACGTTAAAAAGCTAGTGTATTATTGTCAAACAGTGTTAAAAACTAGTATATTATTGTCAAACAATGTTAAACACTATTATATTACTGTCAAACAGCGTTAAAAACTAGTATATTACTGTCAAACAGCGTATAAAACAGGTATATTACTGTCAAACAGCGTTACACTTACAATTATCATGATCTTTTATGCTGTCTTACAACGTTGATTAATTACTAGTCTGTACTACACAAAACTTACTATTTCTTGATACCAAAACTTATTTATAACTCTTTCAAAACCAAATATTCTCTTATGGTCAAAATACGTCAATATACACATTAATTTACAGATAACCATTATAAACGTTAAATAATGAGTAGTGCAGTGGCTTATTGCCTCATGCTGCGCTAGTGTACAGGGTTATTACAGCTACATAGATACTTGGAATTCTGAGATATATTAAGATGGAGTTAGGATACGGTCAAGTTTGAGCTCTGCGAAAAGGTATAAACGCCGCATTCGAATTGTTGATTATTATACAAAGACTACACATAGATAACATAAACAAATAAGTATATTGACTGTACAATTTATTAGCAAATCGTCATGAAACAAAAAGCACTATAAGGAATCACATACGGCAGCCATCATACAATGGGACATTGCTAGTCCGGACCCTTCAGACAAAGCGCATTATTTGGCCGAATGAAACATATTTTCGAAATGTTAAATGCATTTTCATTCTGTAATATACGCGTCTGGAGATGATATTTGCTCTAGGTACATGTAATAGAGGTTGCTCTAGCATAGGGTGTCGGATTATCGACGTCCAAGTGTATAATACATGATAGCATATCAAATAAAAGTTTCTCATTATGATAACAAATGGTGTATGCATATATATATATATATATATATATATATAGTAGACGATAAATAAATAAGTCCTTGCGAATGAAATATAGAATAAATAATAAATATGTAAGATCTACGGAGGGAAAATGGCTAGTTCAGAGATGATTTTTTTGAACATTTTTAAAACGTTTAAAGTTTTATTTTACGACTTCAAAATGGTGTAAGGGTCAATGGAAATTCTGGAAAAAATAAACAGCAAAATAACGTCTTCAGGTGGGCATCATAATACCATTCTACACGCTAGTGAGAGACTCCTTACAGTATAATAGCAAGTTAACGTCTTCAGGCGGGCATCATAATACCATTCTACACGCTAGTGAGAGACTCCTTACAATATAACTTGTGAGTTTAAAAATATATTCATCATTCTACTACTACCTTGTTAAAGGAAAAATGCGTCAGCGATCAGCCAACCATCCAGTCAGAGAGAAATACACTACACTCGAGCATGAATTTATAAAATTTGTTTATTGTTATACTTTATATTATATATATAGACATATGTGATAATATAACCTGTTGTTTATTATTAACCGTACCTATTTTTGTACTCGTTTTAGTCATTGAAATAAGACAGGATATAATGAAGAGAGAAAAAAAAATAATTAACTATAAATACGGTGTTTGATGAGTGTTCATTACTGATATCACGTGGTCAATGTGTAAATATACATTTGCCTGGAAGCATCACTGAAAAATGTCCCCTATATGTAAACTAACTGCATGCGTCGTATTGATTACTGATCATGAAACCCATACGAACATGTGCAGTTTCTTGTTTTATGTTATCGATTAAATATTTTCAAAATTTACAATCATTGCCTCCACGCTTACTTCCTTTTGCTGTCTCCCATCTGTGTGCCGACTGCTGAATTATATTAATATTGGAAATTAGTCCTTTGAAGATTGTATTTAATATGCATTTTCATAACAGTTGTTATCTAATGAATATAATTTATACACATCGTACACTTAGTACAAAATTGTTTTGATGGAATGATTTTTAAGAAAACCGATAGCATATGTGGGCCAGGACTACTGAGATATGGGTTCGGAGTAGGTACCCCGATACCAGTTTTTGATAGAGTTGATTCCGAACGGATGACTAATCCGATTCATCACACGCCTGCTATTTCAGTGGTGGATCAGGATCGATCAAACACGTATAACGGTCTGTTTTATAAATGTCAATACGGGAAATAACCAATTCAGTAGACTCAGCTAAATGACAGTCAGATAGTTACCCATCCTGCCATTACTATGTCAGTGACACCGAGGCATTGCTATTACATTATGTTTGATACATGTCAGTAGACACTAACAAGTTCAGCAGGCTCAGCCGCACAATGCCGATCAGTCCAACCAAATCGATCATATCAAGACAAAACAGTATTTCTCTTTATAAAAAGAACTATAGTTCGAACAGGTTTACCTATCCGAGTTTAAAGTATCCTGATTCCTATTCTATAATAAAAAATAAAACTTAAGACGCTAATTATCACGATAAATGTTATAAAAGGGATAGATATTTTTAACGATTTTTCAATCAATTACAACCACTATGATATATTTTTTAAGTTTTAAAGCATATTAAAATAACAAATTTTAAATATTTATTAAATTGAAAGAGAAAAATATTTCAAACGAATTTAACATCTAATATTTAGTTAATTGATGGAGATTCTGTGTCTCCGTAATAAGATCTCTGCACATATGTTATTTGTTAACTCATAAAGAGTTGAGATATTGTGACAATGATAGTAATCTCTGTCAAAGACATGGCAATTATATGAAGCGTTACAACAAGATTTGGCAGTTGTTCCGAACATACTTACATCACATAATCTTATAGCTAAACAAAATAGGACATTAATTACTTATGTCTAATATAATGTATCTACTATAAAAGAAAGACATCAATATATATTTTGCTCTCAATATCTCTTACCTTTGTCGTTAATATAAATATTTCTCAGCTATTATTGATCTACTACATTCAAATTGATATCGTGTATTTATTGATTCTAAATCCTTTGTTCATTATAGATTTCTCTATATCTAGCAGTCCTTTAATATGTCACCAGTTTTCTTCATATAACAACAAAATAACAACACTTTGAATAGTCTTGATATCGCACATAAATCGCCTCTGAATCATAACAGATGAAAAGTACTCCTTCCGGGATATCAAGAAGCCTTGCTATCCGAGACCGTGTCTTTTTGTTTAGTGGGATAAGTCTTGGCGACTGCACATTTCTACGCTATTATATATTAAGCCCCAAGATAAACCAGTTAACGACAGAGGCATAAGTTTCGAATACGGGAGGTTTGTGTGTCTCGGTGGTAAAGACATATAAACTTGGTCTCCTTCGTGCCTCGCGAGTACAATCCTTGCCTGGTATATCCCGACGGTGAAAATATGGCATTTTAAGCCCCATGGGGATATATACCCGGTGCGTACTGTTGTGGTCCCAAGTACAGTGTTGGAGTTGGTCCTTGGGTTTTCGCGTCCCTATTTCAGTGTCGACAGAATTCTGGCGTGACATTTCGCATTGGTTCCTGATGCTGATTCTAACCTCCCTTGTAATGGATTTCAGGCCAAACTTGTCCCCATGGGGACATAGCCTACCATTCATATTCCCGGGGGACATTGCGTACCATATTTATCCCTATGGGGACATTGCGTACCATATCCATATCTATCCCTAGGGGGACATTGCATACGATATATATCCCTAGGGGTACACTTCTGGTCAGATTTACCCGTCGACAATGTCAATATAACCACCTTGTGTCTTTCCATTGCAAGGCTAATTTATAGGGAACTCATCTTTTCATATATGGATAGCAACAATATATATCACCGATCACAGAGTAGTCAAAATCTCATCAGAGAGCTGTATTTTTGTCATATACATGGCGAATAAGCTTTGAGCTCGGTGAAAATCTCTGTGAAAAACCCCGGATCGCTGTTTATTTTGAGCATACTCGAACTCTGTCTGTTGATTATCAATAAGCATCGGTCCCAAAATCGCTCTCTATTTTCCTCTACGAGGAACGGTTTAAGGGGGTAGCTGATTTCGTTGCCCATATAGGAGTAAGATAGATACAAACACGTTAGCACCAGTGACTGAAGATCATGCTCGCTGTCAATGTCTGAGTAGACGATGTCTCTAATGAGCATGTAGACGAACACGACATTAGCAGGGTTGATAAAGGCAACATCTTGCCAGCCTTGTAGTAGAAGGGATCTGTCAACAGTTCTGAGCCACATAATGACGTCACACCCTTCAAAATGTCTCAGCCGCTTGCAGCGTTTCCTGAGGTACTCCCCCAAACACTTTAGTAGCTCTGACGTAGAAGCTTGTATCACTGTGCGTTTTGGGCTCGTTCCTTTTTCTGTGTTTTTCACAATAATGGTTCGTCGTGGACACTGATTTTCTTCTGATTCTGATTTAAGATTATAACATGACACCGACTTAGGAATATTCCTATTCAAATTGACATTTTCTATATTAAAGTTGTTATCAATCTTCCCAGGAAGCACACGAACTGATGCGTTTGGAAACCGTAGAAAATTCTTATCTTTTTTCTTTCCAGCGTTCACTGTGAATTTCTTCCAGCTTAATCCACTGAGAAATATCGAATGACGTTTAAAATTCTTCTCTTTCGTCGTCGTCGCCTGAATTTGATTCTTGGCATTGTTGAGTATTTCATAGCTGAAATTATTCAGGTTGATATCTTCGTAGAGAGGTTTTCTAGGCCTCGGAGAGAAAGATAATACGGTCCCCATGATTGATTGTGACACGTAGTGCTCGGGTATTCGACTCAGACACTGCTTGCTGGAGATGACTGCTTGCGTTATATCCGCAGTCTCCCAGAGTTTTTCACACCATATTCACCAGTAAATTCCGAATAAATATCCTCACAGTTTCACATCCCGTTTCTTAAAGACTAGAAACTCTAGACAGTTGATCTGTTCTTTAGGATCAGTAAACTTACCGTACAGAAAATCAACATGGAGCTACAGTTCATGTCATTTCTGGCTCCTTGCTAGAACTGAATACGTTAACATAATCAGTCGAAATGACATCATCTCCATAGCAACATCGATAATCGATATGTCTGCTTACTGTAGCAATCCAAGCTAGCTTACTTTGCAGCCCACACCACGCGCTGAGCCAACATTGGTACTAAAATAATGGTAACGTCAAAATTGATTTACGCCTTTCGCTGCATTTTTTTTATCACTTACGATGAATGTCCAAGTGCATTCTTACGACCTCAGTATTCAGGTTGGCAATAGACGACCACAACACGGCGCCAGTACGCTTCATTAATATTTCCTGAAAATCGATTTACGCTTTCCGTTCACTATGCGACTAAATTATTCAGGTTAGTTTTGTTGATACAATAGTTGCAACTTTTCGGTCGATCTTTTTTGTTAATTCATAGACAAAAACGACGACTGTTATTTTCAAGTAAATAGATAAAGTATACTACATAAATATAAGGTAAAGTTCAGAAAATTGAAAATTAATGCCAGTGCTTAATTGAAGTGAATGTTCATCAAATTATGTTTATTGCAGCAACTACAGAATTAGGATATACATAACAATGTAATGTATCCTCTCGAAGTTTTTATATGTAGTATCGATTTTATTGACTGTACTATAACCACAACATTTTAAATAGGACATTTATTTCATATTTATTCAATTTCTACTCTGATTTCCCACTTTTGACAAATGTGTTGTTATTTTAGTTTAAGTGTAGCAAGAGCGATTGCGAAAGTCTAATACCTTTTACGTTGAATTTTATTTTTCTTCAGAATTTTGGTAACAGTGAATGTGCATATCAACATTTAATATGTAGTCTAATCAGAACGAGACAATATGTGAAAACAGGAAAAATACATTAAAGTCATGAATTACTGCGTGTAAATTACTGACACTATTATTCAATAGCTATAAAGCGGACCATCCACACTAATTAGCAAAAACAATTACATAGATATTTTTTTCCCTTTCCAAGAATTGGGTTCCTGCTAGGACAAATCATATCAACCCAATATGTGAAAACATGAAACAAATTATAAAATTTCTTAGTTACTATGTGTTTTAAAATTACTTATTATTCAAAGTAACTCTTACGTGAACAATTCCAACTAATTAGATACGCTAATTAGCCAAAACATGTTAAGATTTCTTTTTACTTTTCACAAGTTGGGTGGCACCTGCTAGGGTAAATCATATCAACCCATTATGTTAAAACATGAAAAAAGTATTACATTCTTAAGCTAATATGTGTTAATTACTTGTTACTCAAAGTAACTCTTATGTTAACAATTACCACTAATAAGATATGCCAATTAGCCAAAAAATAAAAAATAAATCTTTTTACTTTTCACGAATTTGGTTACACCTGCTAGGGTAAGTCATATCAGCCCTACATGTGAAAAACATGACAAATGCATTAAATTCTTTAGGTACTTTGTGCTAATTACTTTTTATGCATTCAAATTTGCGAACTGCTATTTGCGATATATTTTTTTAATGATTTTTTTTTATTTGTTTATCGGATGGCCATTTACTATTGATTAAAAAAAAATCAACAAAAGTAAACAAGAGCTGTAGGAGAACAGCATAGCTCGACTATCAAAATCATTTTTGTAAAAAGTGCTAATAGTCATTGGGCCATTCTTAGATAACAGATCAGGAAACTAGAACTACACTGTCGATGGCACACTCCCGCTATTTTTGTTTAAATACTTGAACCCATCCCCTCTGGCCCGGTACTGGGGGTCATATAAAAAATCCGAAAGTGTTGTGCACTCCTCCATACATATATCTACCATGTCTAAACGTTTCAAGTTCATCTTCAAACATTGTAGAAAAAAAGTTATTTTATCCCTTATCCCTCAAATACCTTTTCCCTCATTTTATGGCATGTGCCAAGTTTAGCCCGATCACACTCTATCATTATAGTATGACAAAAACACAGCACCATTTATGATAAAGGAGATATGGCTGTTTAAAAGGTTAAAAAAATACTTTGTAGGTCATGGCGGCAATATTGAATTTTCAATGGCATCTCCAGACCATGGCCTACAACATGTCAAAATATCAAGGATATACCTGCTTTCATTTAGGAGAAAAGGCTGTGACCCGATTGGTATAGAATAATAATAATAAACAAGAGGCCCATGGGCCTTAACGGTCACCTGATATATTTGTACAGAGAGTTGATTTGGTTTTTAACATGTACAGAAATATTATTCAAAGTGACAAAAAACAATAAAACCACCTTATTCAATATCTAGCATACAGATTTAAAACTAAAAAGTATTTGAAACTAGCGCCTCTGATTCTAAACAAGGAAAATGAAGAAATTTTAGCACACTGACTCCTTTGCGCCCCACCTTACAGCCCTTGTATCAAACTGTCAACTCAAGGTTATAATTCCAATCAAGTTATTAACATGTAATATTCAAAGTATCATTTGCCATTATAATCCATAATGAATTTTTCCGCCCCGCCTCCTTCCCCAGGGTGTAAACGTGAGACCCTAGGGTCATAAACCTTAGGACCCTTCCATCTATGAAGAGTGTTTGATTCTACCATATCTGTGCCTTTGAGAAGAAGATTTTTGAAATTTCAGTCAATTCAACCCTTTTTGGCCCCACCCATCAGCCCCAGGGGGTCAGTCAGGGCTGATATGTGCATACCATCAAACTGCTATCCAATACTGATAATGCTAACCCAAATTGAATAACTTACGATGGAAATTAAACAAATGTTGGTCCAAAATGTGATTTCCCTATATAAACTATAGGAAAGTTAACCCCCTTCCCAGGGGTAAACGTGAGACCCTAGGGTCATGAAATTCACATTTTTGTAAAGCACCATAAGACCCTTCCATCTATGAAGAGTATTTGATTCTACCATATCTTGGTCTTGAGAAGAAGATTTTTGAAATTTCAGTCAATTCGACCCTTTTTGGCCCCACCCATCAGCCCCGGGGGGTCAGTCAGGGCTGATATGTGCATACTATCAAACTGCTACCTAATACTGATAATGCTACAGTAACCTAAATTGAATTACTTCCAATGGAAATTAAACAAATGTTGATCCAAAATGTGATTTCCCTATATAAACTATAGTAAAGTTTACCCCCTTCCCATGGGGAAACTTGATACCCCAGGGTCATGAAATTCACAATTTTGGTAAAGCACCTTAAGACCCTTCCATCTATGAAGAGTATTTGATTCTACCATATCTGGGTCTTGAGAAGATTTTTTTTGAAATTTTAGTCAATTTGACCCTTTTTGGCCCCGCCCCTCAGGCACCTGGTGGCTTGGGACTAAACCGGCCACTGTTTTTGTTGACCTTTGTCCATGGAAGGTTCCTGCAAAATTTCATTGAAATAGGTTCAGGGGTTTTGGAGAAGAAGTCGAAAATGTAAATTGTTTACGGACGCACGACGGACGACGCCGGACAAAGGGCGATCGCAATAGGTCACTTGAGACTTTGTCTCAGGTGACCTAAATACATAACAAAACAATAGGGCTTTTCATCTTTTGTTCCTTGATCGACTTTTTGGAATGAATAGAAAATATTTAACCCAATCAGAATTTCTTAAACGTCTTATTTTTAGTATCGTTTGTATGAATTTTGTCAATGCGGTTTTATTCCTGATATTATGAGAATACTTTGCAAATATGATCTATTGATTATATAGTATGTATGAAACAAGTATGTGTCAGACGCTGTTGTTCCTAGTAAAGCAGTGTAACATCGGTAGAACTAATGATGTATGTACAAGATATTTGCATATTCAAGATAGAATTTGTTCAAATACTTTATTGAAATTAACTTTGAAGTTCCATGATCACTTGAATAGGATAAATAATGTAGTTCGGTTGTGCGTCGAAATAAGATCTACTAATGTAATTGAGTAGTTGTGTCATTTTTGTGGTATTTACCACACTGACAATACAATACACATTGTCCTTCATTGTACAAAAGCTGAGAAACATAGAGACGAGGTTTGATGCCTTATTAGTACTGAGTTTGATATAGAGCTAAATGTTTACTTACACTCCTTGTCTGGTTACAAAATAATGTTTACTTACACTCCTTGTCAGGTTACAATATAATGTTTACTTACACTCCTGGTCAGGTTACAATATAATGTTTACTTACACTCCTGGTCAGGTTACTATATAATGGTACTAGGAGGAATCCTCTTATACAAGTTATGTGATTTAGATTATGAAAACTTTGTAGTGCTTTGTGCCAGTTTTGTTGATAAAATGATGAAATTGTATCACCGATAAAATCGTAATTAAATTCATTTATATCTGAGGAAGTATTCCCCTAGTTACCTGGCGGTGGTGGAATACGTTATCAGAGGTTTGTTGGCTCTGTTTGGCTATGATTGCGTCACACCTTGTATTTAAAAAAAATTTCACATCAGTATCTATCAAGTAAACACAAATTGCCTTTATCCCCCAACACAAACTAATTAGGCAATACATTTGTATCATTAGCCGTACCGGCAGTCTCTGCCAGTGATGGGAAGATGAATACCTGTACGAAATAGAGAAAAGGACTCACCGGTTCTATGTGCACGTTTAGCTCAAAAACGAGTACCTTGAACAATATCGCAACTCTTTTGAAAATATATCTTCGAAATCCAACACTTTCGCTCTCGATTTAGTACTGAGCGTGTGACCATTGGATTTCAAAATTGCAGACAATAGAGAGTATCAACTATGTTTGTGTACAACAGATCGTACACACATTCTCATTCCTTGGCATACACTTCAGGTAAAAACATCCACCTACAAGTTTCTACAATATACCATAATTCCGGCCGGTATAACAATATGCGCACTAAGTACTGGTACACATTTAGTTGTATGAAGTAATAGCTACTGATTTCCGCTTTCCATAGAGGTACATGTATAACATGTGGTTTTAGGTGGCCGGTCGAGTTTCATATGATCCTTTGGGTATAAAGTAGTAATTCAATGTATTTTCCATTGCCTTTCATGAGATAAGCAC